AATACATAGACTTCCCTAGGCAGAATACATGGAAATCAAATTGACTACATCTTTGGGAAGAGATTATGGGAAAGTTCAATCTCAATAGGCAAAACCAGACCAGCTGGAGCTGATGGTGGAACAAACCACCAATTTTTGCTCATAGGTAAGTTCAGGTTGAAGCTGAAGAAAATTAAAACAAGTCCACAAGAGCCAAAATACAATCTTGAGTCTATCCCACCTGAGTTTGAGAACATATCAAGAACAGAGTTGATGCATTTAACACTAATAACCGGAGATCTGATGAGCGGTGGAATGACATCCAGAAAATGATACACGTAGAAAGAAAACAGTCTTTGAAAGAAAAGATCAATATGGAGATCAGAAGGGACTCTGAAGCTTGCTCTTCATCATTAAGTGGCCAAAGCAAATGGGAAAAAATGATGAAGTCAAAGAGCTGAACAGAAAATGTCAAAGGACCGCTTGCGAGGACAAAGTAAAATATTATAATGAAATGTGCAAAAGCCTACCCAAAAGGAAGAACACCCTCAGCATATCTTGAACTGAAAGAGCTCAAGAAGAAATCAAATCTCAAGCTACAATATTGAAAGACTCTACAGGCAAAATATTGAACAAGGCAGGAAGCATCAAAAGACAACGGGGGTAATACAAAGTCATGGTGCCAAAAAGCACTCCTAGACATCCATTCAGTACAAAAGTTAGCATATGATCAAGAACCAATGGTATTGAGGGAAGAAGCCCAAAAGCATCGAAGGAATTAGCTAAACACATGACTCCAGGCATTGATGGAATGCCAATGGAACTGTTTTAACCAGCTGATGAAACACTTGAAGCATGCCCTCACCTATGCCAGCAAATTTGGCAACCAGCTACTTGGCCAAAAGAATGGAAGAAATCCATATTTATACCATTCTACACACACACACACACACACACACAAAGCGCACCCAACAGAATGCTTAACTTACAGAATAATTTTCTATATTGTCCATATTTCTTCCATGACACGTGTGTTCATTCTTCTGGCAGTCCGCACTGTATTGGACTTCACCAGCACCGTGATTGAGAGCATGACTTCTTTGTTCTTCCTTATTCACCATTTAGCTTTCAAGTGCATATGAGGCCATTAAAGTACGATGGCTTGGGGGCAGGCACAGTTTAATCTTCAAAATGACATCCCCCCCATTTTTTAACATTTAAAAGGGCTCTTTTGTATCAAATTGGTCCAGTGAGCTACATCATTTGATTTACTAATTGCTGCTTGGACAGGCGTTGACTGTGGATCCAAGTAATATGACATCTTGGACAATTTCAATAGTTTCTCCATTTACTGTGATGCTGCTAATTGGCTCAGTTGTAAGGATTTTTGTGTTGTTCATATTGTGATGTAATCTTGTTGAAGGCTGCTTTCTTTGCGCTTCACCAGTAAGTGCTTCAACTCCTTGTCCCTGTGGACAAGCAAGGTCGCGCTGTCTGTACATCACAGGTTGTTGGCGAGCCTTCCTCCACTGCCGATGATGCCTTTTTCATACAGTCCAACTTTTGGATCCTTTGCTCCTCTTGCAGATCGAACAACTCTGGTGAAATCATACAACCCTGGTGCTCACCTTTCCTCATTTTAAATCACACAATATACACCTATTCTGATTGATCTAAAGCTTCTTGGTCCATGTACAGTTTTCACGTGAGCACAATGTGCTCTGGATTTCTGAAAGTGTTCTGGAATTCGGATTCTTTGGAATGTTATCCAGAGCTTGTTATGATCCACACAATTGAATGTCTTTACATACTGAGTAAACTCAAGTAAGCACCGTTCAGGTATTCTCTGCTTTCTGCCAAGAAATTATTGAACCCAGATAGAAGGTAGAGTGTCTGTGGGAGGAGTGATCAGTATCAAAATAGATCAGGAGGGATAGTGCGTGGAGACACGTCTGATCTGCGTTGGTCTTGGGATGGTGGAGAGATGAATTCTTTCCCTCCCTTGTGTAGTCAGAGGAGGCCAGACAGGACCTCTGCACAGTTTTATCACATTATCATTGGCCTGTGTTATTTGTACAAACATTTGTATAAATCCTACCTTTGAACATCTGCAAGTGAACATCTCAGAAAGATAACATCAACAAATTACATGCTGCAATGTTGTACATAGCACATATCTCTCAACGATAAAATATACAAACACATGGAGCCCAGGTGGCTTAGTGGTTGTGAGTTGGGCTGCTAAATGTAAAGATATACAAACACACACATGCAGACATCTAAAACAAAACACATTATTGAGGTGTGATTTTGGTAACTTAAATATAAACCTGGGACCACCTGTATTTGCAGCATTCTTAAAAGAATGGGGGAAATTAATAAATCAAAAGAAAATATTCACAAATATGTATCTCATAAATGATTTGTATATAGAATATGTAAAGAACCCTTAAAATCAGCAATAAGAAGATAACAAAAGAAAAGACAAAGGTTGTGAAGATACATCATTAAGGAAAATATACAGATAGGAACAAATATAAGAAGTTCAACATCATTAGACATTAACCAAAAAGAGCAAACAAACCATAAAGTTCACACTAACCCATATCAACCCTGTTTCCCAGCGTGTAAATCAGTTAAGGAACAGACAGCATCCCGTTTCTCTCGAGGAGTGACTGATAGGTTTGAACTCCCGACCTTACAGTTTTCAGCCTAACGCCTGACTGCAATGCCAGCAGGGCTCCTTATGAGAAGTTGCAAATTTAAATAATAATGAAATCTATTAAGGACATACTTGAGTTGCTAAAACATTAAAAATCTGTCAATGGCAATTGCTGGTGAAAATGCAATAGAGGCAATTGCATTGGTTAGAATGCAAAAGGGTAGTCACTTCAGACAGTATTTTGAAAGTTTCTTACAAAACTGAAGAGGTTTACCAAATAAACAAGCAAAGGTGTTCTTATGTATTTACCCAACTTAATAAAAAATGGATGACCACACAAAACCTGTATGAAAGCCCTATTTGTTTAAAACGTCTTCCACTTCTAAAAGCAAAGCAATTACAAGAAAACATCTCGAGGGCTTGTGTGTGTTTACAAGGGGCTTGGTGTGGCCTTTCTCTGAGTGTAACCACCAAGGACTTTGAGAGCTGACAGGTCTGAGCAGCCCTGGGGAGTGAGTGTTCCTGCCTCCGCATCACAGCGTGAGCTAATGCAACGCACAGTTGATGAGGCCAGCAGAGCCAAGGAGTCACAGCCCAACTTGTGGGAAGGAAACCAATGTGGTAGGAAGCTAAGGGAGGGAGGTCAGACTACCCAACTTTACTTGATGGTTTCCAGGCCAATGTAAGGATTTGTCAAGGAGGGGGTGGGGAAGTGATGGGTTCAGGGAGGGACTCTGGGAAGTGATGGGTTCAGCGAGGGAAAGAGCACCCCTTAATCAGGTGGTGGGGAGAGAAGATAGGGGGAAAGCCCAGAATTCCTCACCAAAGGCCAATTTCAGAGGGGAGGAGAAGAGACCAAGGGGGGTTTACAATCTATGCTTTAGCCAAGGGTGGTAGTGGAGGAGAGTGGAGGGTGGGGGGACGGATGACTTGGAATGGGGAGCATTATTTAAGACATGGGAACCCCGGCACACCCAGCAGTAGTCCCATAGGCTGCAACCTGACATCTTCACATCTAGCCAAAGAAGCCACCCCAAGCTGCAGTTTAGCTCTGATGAAATACAGGACATTCCTCTGGATCTTTAATGCTTCCTCCCCCCACCATCACCCACTAACAGAAACGTGGGTGAAGGAATAGAGCAGACAATGTAAGATATGAAAATAATAATAATATATCATTTAAGAAGGATTCTTGAGGGTGGAAAAGGAGAGGAAGGGAAAAAGAGGAGCTGATAATAAGGGCTCAAGTAGAAAGATAATATTTTGAAAATGACAATGGCAACATATGTACCAGTTTGCTTGATATAATTGATTCTTTATGGATTGTTATAATATCTGTAAGTGCCCCCAATAAAGTGATTTTTAAAAATGTATGGTAATGTTCACTGCAGCTTTATGTATAATAATTTAAAAATCCTTAAAAATATCAAGGAATCTTTCAATAGTTCAATATATAAATAAATGGTAATAAATCCATAAAATGGAATTTTATTAGCAATATAGTGATAGGGGTTATTGCATATGAATTGATGTAAGACTCATGGATGATTCTTAAAGGTATATTGCTAAGTAAAAGAAGTTATCTGAAAAGTCTAAATAGAGTATGATTACAATAATATGATGTTCTTGAAAAGGCAAAATAATAGACATGATAAGATGATCAGTGTTTGCAGGGGTCAGGAGATAGTAGAAGTGAAAAAGTTAAGTTGGGTAATTATTTAGGACATTGTATCCATTTGGTAGAATACTATACATAGGTAGATATATGACATTGTATGATTTCAAAACTGACAAAACTTTATAGGAGAAACTAGCATTATTCCTGAGAGGTAGGAATGTTTAGAACCTAAAAAGTTGAATCTTGGTGCAAGATCTCAGCTATTTTGCTCATACACTGGACCGCATTATATGGAAATATTGATCGCCCTCAAATTTCATTATTGTTAATATTGTGACCCTGCTTTTCTTGGAAATCCCTGCCTGGTGTCTTTCAATAGTTCTGAAAAAAGTTTGAGAGGAGTCAGAACCACGGAGCTACTGTCTCAGTCCATCTTGTGCAGATCCACATACACAGTGCATCCCAGAGGAAGCTTTTACTGGGGCCTTTATGTCTGGATGCAGCCCTGTCATCCACAACTTATGGTTGATCTTCTGGAATGTGTGTGTCATAAAGTTTCTACTTGGTATGTTGTAAAACTCTTGTTAAAATATCCCATCCCAGCAAAGTGATCACTGTGCATTCTGTTCTAACCTACTACCCAGAGGTCTTGCTCCTGAAGACCTCCTATACAGCACATTATTTCCAACATCCCAAATGGCGAGGAGGGCTCGGGGGTGGTTCTTTTTTTTTTTTTTTTTAAAGGTTTCCATCACTTTTATTGTTATGAGGTGAGGCCCCCCGAGTGGGGCCTTGCAAGCTGATGCATGTGGTCCCAGGATCACGGGGAGGTCACAATTGCAGACATGATCACCACAAAGGAAGGACCCGGTCCAGGGATGCAGGAAACATGATCAGACGGGCTGGGGCGAGGGCTGGCCCCTCATTCCCGCTTCTTGTAGTTCTCCAGGTGCGACATGATCCAGCCAGAAGGCACGAAGAAACACAGGGCGAAGGTGGTGAACGCAACGACACATTCCATGTACCCGAGCTGCTCCCGCGGAGGCTTCGAGTGGATGTGGGCGCGCCGCGCCAGGAGCCGCCGGGCCGAGCCCGTCAGGCCCCTCAGCAGCAGCGGCGTCAGCGCGGCTCGGGGGTGGTTCTTTTGTCCTCTGTAAGGTATTAGAGGCTAAGTCATAGCTTTCATTTCTTTCAGTTTTCCTTAAATTAAATTTGGTAGCACAGTTCTAAAGACTTTTAAAAAAAATTAAGACTGTTGTTATTCAAGAATTACTTCATTTGGAGGGGGGAAAAAAAACCTTTCCAAATAGAAAGCATTAGGAGGAAATAATGAAAGAAGCATTTGAGGCAAAAGGTGATAAACTTAAGGTGCAAATCTGATAAGCATGCTATTTATATTTTAATACTAGCATTTGACACCTGTCTTTTTGTTTTAAAATACAAACAAGCTTAAGGGAACTCCCACTTAAACAACACCAGCCAGCCCTCACAATGGGAATCATTCATCTTTTTTTTTTTTTTGAGTTATTTAACTCCAAAGTTTGAAACACCTCTTTTCCAATGGGCATTCATGCTAGCAAGCATCCCTGATTAGGCATGAGTATAAATGTAGAATCAGGAAGATATTGAAGAATAGATATTCCTCTGGATAGAGGAAAAAGTCAAATTGAAACAATGAAGATAATTGTTTAAGGGAAGAAAAAAAAAGGGCAACATTTTATGAATCAAAAGGAAATAAGGGTGTTATATACAGCTAGTTAGGAAGTTATGAGGAAAAGCATTTACTGACTACTGATATCATTGGCAATCCTCTGACCCCTCCCTAAACAAGAAAATAACAAATGGGTATCTTGTAAGGACGGGAAGCATAAAGTCTCAGTCTTAGGGCCTGGTCAATACTTGAGTGATAGTGCCTTGAAGGGTTAATTTACAGAGAAATTAACAAGTGCATGTCTGTACAGAATCACACAATAGTTGTGGAGTTGGCTCTTGGAGCAAAGTCACCCAGCTGTAAGCATGGTGCTCTGTCCATCACTTACTCTATTTCCACACTGTGGGTTTCCGTGTTTTTCCCAATCTGGAGCGCATAAACGGAATAGCATACGCCTCCCCTTCCACAAACGGTCATTACTTTTTTCTTTTCGTCACCCAGAAAGGAAGGAGACCTGGTGACACAGTGGTTAAGTGCTTACTTGCTAACTAAAGATCAGTGGTTGGAAGCAACCATTAGCTTTGTGGGACAAGAGGCCTGACCATCTGCTCCCATGAAAATGTTCAGCCTCACAAACTGTTGGCCAGGCCTACACTATCCTGTAGAGCTGCGTCACGTTGGAATCGAATGCACAGCACAAGCACCACCATGCCAGGAAGGTCATCCCAGTATTTACTACACATTTTCTGGTTATCAGATGTCCACTTACTCTTGCACTGTGTTGTTAGTTACTATTAGGTTTCCCCCAACTCATGTAAAACAAGACGGAACCATTGTCTGTCTGGTTTGGGGGAGTAGTTCACCAGGAAGCAGTTCACCGGGTCTGCTACAGCGCAGCAGGTGGGACATTTATGGCTACAAGGAAGTACTGTAGTCCACCAGGTCTACATAATTTGTCTTAATTTGGACGCTCCATGGAAACCCATTTAGCACCGTGGCAACAAGAAAGCTTCCGCTGAAAAACAAGAGGTGATTGCACTTGAGGCACATTGGCTGGTATTCAAATCTGGATCTGCCATGGGGAAGGCAAGAATTCTATTGCTAACCCACCTCTGGTCTCCCTGCAGATGCATTCTCAAAGCCAGCCCAGGTCTACTGCCATAGTTATCCTACAGGTCAGCTTGGATCAACCTGTCCTTTGTGATATTCATGAAATTGCTTAAAATGTGTATAGCTTCCCCTAAGACTACTGGGGAAATAGTAGTAATTTCTAAAAATCTTTTAAAAAATGTTTATATGCTTATACTTGTTCCTAATTCTGATTTCTTGATTGCACTTGCTCTCACTTGCCTTTCCTTCTTATACCTATGGCCATTTCTTGATCCCCCACACCAACATAGAAGATGAATCCAGCTCATTCCTTTTGTCACAACGTTAACAGTAAAGTCTAGCCAGGTACTTATCTTCATAGCAGAATTTACCGTAAGAGAGTCATGGAAAAGGGTCATAATGTAGCATCTCATTGCAAACTGTTTCAATGCTAATATTGGATAATTATTTAAGTTCTTCAACATATCCACTCATATCAACTTTCACTGTACTAAATTTCTCCATAGGTTTTCATCTATTCCCCAATCCTTCCCACACTATCTTCTTTATTTTTCTTAACTATTTCAGGGTCATTTCTCTATTGGCAGCTAACAACCACATGCATATTGGAAGAATAAAATGACATTTGATAATCAGAATATGCTTAGTAAATTCTGGGATCACCTTTCTGGGCTAATCATTGAAGAGCAGCTTTATATCTCTTTGTTTATTTGTCCCTCTCCAGACAAGAATGGGAGGGATTTAGGAAGGGGAAAAGAAGCAAGAGTGCAATATCACGGCACCAAACTCAAAGCTAAACTCACTGTCATTGAGTTGATTCCGACTCATATTGACCCCATAGGAGAGAATAGAGCTGCCCCTTTGGGTTTCTAAGGCTGCAGAAAGCATTAACTTTTTCTGATAGGGTGGCTGGTGGATTCAAACTGACCTTTCAGTGAATGGCCCAACGAGTAACCCACTCTGTCTCTGCGACTCGGTACACTATGGCACAGCAGGGCATAAAGTTATTTTGCTATTGAGAAGACTATCTGCCCCAGAGGGACAAATGAATAAAGAAGCAAATTTCTTTACATGGTTTTAAAAAGATAACGTTATGCTTCATTTGCTGTATGTCACACCAAGAATTTCTGAAACAAGAATCTGAGATGAAAATCTAGAATTATGGTTTTTTTCTTCATTAAAGAAATATTCTAGATAAAAGAAGCCACACAATTGTGAAAATAAAGCAAAGTATCATATCTTTTGTCAGAAGAGAATCCAAGATTAGTTATTACATGTTATTGAAGTAAGGCTTTATATTAATCTGGCTTGGCCTGAGTTCTTTTGACATAAGATACACAAGCGGGCTTCCAAAAGTTCATGGAAAAACTGAATGAAAAGATAATGGAATTTTCCCATAACTTGTCGAGGTTCTCTTCCTATTATTGGGACAACTGTAAACATTCTCAAGAGTCTCTATATTAAATAATGATATACCAATGCAAATTTCTTGATTTTGATGATAGCTGGGTATTGTGTAAGACAGTGTTTCTCAAAGTTTTTCTACGATTGACCGCTAAGAAGAAAATTTTAATTAACCTTGAAACTTATTTTCTCTCTCAAAGAGAAATTACCTAACTTCAGATTGCCATAGAGTCCACCCAACCCACAGCGACTCTCGAGGGCAGAGTAGAACTACCCCTTCAGGTTTCCAAAACTTTTAAGTCTTCACGGGAGCAGACAGCCCCATCTTTCTCCTGAGGAGCGACTACTGGTCTGTTGGAACCACTTAACTGTGCTTAGCATTTGATGCTTAGCACGCTACACCACATGGTGTAGCTCCTTCAAAGATAAATGAAATACTATGACATAGATTTTATGAGAAGACCATTCTCATGAGTTTGGAGACCAAGAAGATTTTTGCCCCCTCCTCAATAATCAATATTTTTCCTCATTAGAGGCATTATCGTCCCTATTGAGAATATGTTAATTTAAAAATATTTAGGAATGAAGGAGTATCTCTGGTGGTGTAGTGGTTATGCATTGGCCTGCAACCCGAAAGGTCAGCAGTTTGAAACAACCAGCCACTCCATGGAAGAGAGATGAGGCTTTCTGCTCCCGTAAAGAGTGACAGTATCAGAAACCTACAGAGGCTACTCTAGCCTGTCCTATCGGGCTGCTGTGAGTTGCTGCTGAGTTCATGGCAGTGAGTTTGGTTTGTGTTTTTTTAATGTCTGCAACTGACTCCTAATGATAAGGAAAAAATACGGATAAAATTATGTATGTGTGTGCACATATGTTTGTGTGTTGTGTGTGTAATTCATTCTGAGAAAGAGAATACAACAGAAAGAAAAAATGAGGACAAAATAAGCATGGTATAATAGTAGTAGTTGGGGAAACTAGACACAAAGTTTATGGTAAATCTTTGTACTAATCCTGCCACCTAGCTCCAAGTTGGAAATTATGGCCAAATCAATAGTTATAAGAGAAAAACAAAAGCCAACAAAAACAAACAGAGCTTATCAGTTTAGCACCACCAATTGTCTGTCCGTTTGTCATACCGTGTGGCTTGAGTACTGCTATTATGCTAGAAGCTGTGCTATTGCTATTTCAAATACCAGCAGTGTAACTCAAGGTGAAATGCAGAGCTTTCAGGCGAAGAACAGACTGCAAAGAAAGAATAAGCAGACAATTGTGAGGAATTATCCACTCAAACCTTTTGAACAGCAGAGAAACATTGTCAGATATTGAACACTTCACGAATAGCTGCACAGCAATGTTAGCTGTACTGTCTGAAAAGGAGACTCAGGTTGGAAAGCAGACATTCAAAGTATGACTAAGGAAGAACTGCCGTCTTAAAGTGGAGTCAGCTCTGCTTTATGAATGCATGCAGTAAGACTTTCAGGACCTTCATCTGGCGATGAATCATGACTCAAATGGAATAGAAACAGCTATAAACATCTATTAATAATTGTAATTGGAAATTTACAAAGTATGAATCTAGGAAACTTGGGAGTCATCAAAAATGGAATAGAATGTATCAAGATTAATATTAATGAGTGGACATGAACTGGTATTGGGCATTTTGAATCAGGTCACATATGGGTTACTATGCTGGGAATAACAAATTCCAGAGGAATGTTGTCATAGTCAGCCACCAAAAGGACATTTCAAGATCTATCTTGAAGTACACTGTCAGTGTTAGGATAATATCTATGCTTATACAAGGAAATCCAATGAATGCAATTATTCAAATTTATGCATCAACCGTTAAAGCTAGTAATGGAGAAATCGAAGAATTCTACCAATATTTTCAGTCTGACATTGACCAAGCATGCAATCAAGTTGCATTAATAATTATTGGTGATTGGAATGCAAAAGACAATACAGAGAAAGAAACAGTAATTGGAAAATATGGTGTTGGTGATAGAAATGACGCTGGAGATTACATGACAGCACTTTTTAAGACCAGCCATTTCTTTAGCACATATATACTTTTTCAATAGCAGAAACAGTCATTATATCTGTGAATATCTCCAGATGGAATATGCAGAAATAAAACTGACTACAATAGTGGGAAGGGACTCTGGAGAAGCTTCATACCTGGTACTTAACATCAGGCCAGGGATTGACTGTGGACAGGTCAGCAATGGCTCACATATGCAAGTTCCACTTGAAACTGAGGGAAAGCAAAACAAGGCCACAAGAGCCAAAATACAACCTAGTCCAACCCACCTGAACTTGAGAACATTTCAAGGATAGATTTGCTGCATTGAACACTAATGATAGAGGATCTGATGGGCTGTGGGATGATCTCAAGAAAATTATATATGAAGAAAGCAAAAGGTCATTTAAAAGGCAGGGAAGAAAGAAAAGATCAAAGTGGATATCAGATGAGGCTATGAAACTTGCTCCTGATCATAGAATTGCTAAAGCAAATGGAAAAAGTGATGAATTAAAAGAGCTAAATACAAAATTTCAAAGGGCAGCTTGAAAAGACAAAGACAGTATGATCATGAAATATGTGAACACCTTGAGTTAGAAACCCCCATAATGTAGAAAACAGTATATGTTAACCTGAAAGAACTGAAGAAAATATCCAAGCCTGGAGTTACAGTATTAAAAGATTATGAGGCTCCCTGGTGTCATAGTAAGGAGCCCTGGTGCATGGAGGGTACATGTTGGACTGTTCTCAGAAAGGTTAGCAGTTCAAAACCACCAGCTGCTCCTCAGGAGACTAAATGGGGCTTTATACTTCTGTCACCAGTCTCAGAAACTCACAGGAGCAGTTTTGCTATGTCCATCGGGTCACTCTGAGTTGGCATTGACTCAGTGGCAGTGAGATGAGTTGGTGGGCAAAATATTGAACGATGCAGGAAGTATCAGAA